GTTAACAATGTTATAGTAAGACGTCAAATAAAATATGTCTGAAAAAACAAAGTATTTGCATGATACTACTGCTATATTTTCACAAAACTGAGCAAAGTAAACATTTCATGAAATATTTACAAATATTTTGAAAAAATAAAGAATGCACCTCCAATGACTTTGGTTCTTACTTCGTACTTCATAAAATCTGCCTGTCTCACACTCTCTCCATAACAATGGCAGCTCATCGGCAGTACCAGTACTGTGCACCGTCTCGGTGATGTTGCCAACTCGATATCATCTTATTTCCTTGGCATCGACGCTAGCGACGACCACTTGATTTATACCCCACTACCAACCTACAAAACTTTACGGATTAAATAGTGTTTTCTCGTTCCAATATTTGCCAACTTTTTTCGTCCAAGTTTTTGGTCTCCTCTTTAATTTACATTGTGCGTAGGTTGCCTTTGCGTATAAGCTCGGAGAATTTATTTGACACGATAAAATGGTTCATGAATGTTTTGTAAATATTGCCAATGGTGTCTTCTGTGGGCTCGTAAAGCTAAAGACACATTTTGAAACAAAGCATAATTACTCATGAACCACAAAATAAGACGTTGTGAAGATGTTTGATGTTATGAAAGTAAACAAAACCAATTTAATGCACCAATAAGGCTAAATTAAAGTGAGGACCTAAAATAACTATCGCTTGCAACCCTCAAATGCCCGACCTAATGGTGGCACATAACAAACTGTTACAGAAATAAATAGCAAGAAAAAAGAAAGATTAGTCTGAGCACGTCGACCGCATTAGCTGTGCCCAAAAATAAAATTAATATAAATATCGTGTAGTGTGAAAGTTCACAGCGGCGACAAACGATTGCGCATGCGCCTAGTAACGGTCTCCTTTTTAAAACTTCCGTATAATTGGTCGTGTCTTGAGAGATGAGAATTTATGTGTAGGCCCAACAGGTTAGAATACCGTTGATATTTTGAATAATGAATTTTAAATATCGAAGACTTGTAGTGGGTCCCATTGATTTACATCAACTTACGTACTTACTGTATTTTGGAATTTGAATAAACAATGTTTGTTTGGAATATATAGTGTGTGACTCAAATTATGTTGCAATGTTATTTCCGTTTACTGGTCTCGTTGCCATGAATATATAGAATCGGAAATTTTCATTTTCATTAAAACTGGATACACGAGCAACGCTTGAAGTAACTTTTCGGTCGTTTTTTTTTCACGCGGTCGTGTCATGTTTTGTGAAATTTACGCCCAGCTTAAAGCGTCCAAAATTTTAGCTTGTGCCGTCCAAAATCCTGATAAATGTCCGGGCCGGGGGGCGGATCGTTGCGGGAAAAAAATCACAGTACCCCTTTTTAATATTAATATTGCTTGCGTAGCAAATTGTGTTAGATTCTAATGTAATTTACATGCACATGGTGATTTACTTTTTCTGAAAAAAAAAATTATTTCTATTTTTATGAAATTCTTGTAGAGAAAAAAATATTTGTTTATTTTTTCGAATAACTTTTGCAATAAACTTTCCACTTGTGTTTTGGCGTCCAAAACAAACTGTATGGATTTCTAACAATAGACGATACAGTAATGGCGTACATGGACGGAACACGTCACGCAGGGCCCGCACACGTCGGGTGGGGATGTAGATAAATTGATGGCCACTCGGCGCAGGTACGCGGGGTGGAGCAAACTCCTTTTAAACTGAACCCCTATACCATTTTTTTTAAATTCGATTATTTCCAAAATGGTGTCTTAAAAATTGGTGCAATTTTATAATAACAGCAATTTTATCTTTTTGAGGTAGTAAAATTATAGCAATTTAATTTTTACAAAATCTATTTAGTAATTCAAAAGAAAATTTTACGAACAAGTCGACAAAATAACAATAACTTTTCTTGTAGTCTGTCGCAAATAGACTTGCGGTTATAATTTTAAAAACCCTTTGTTGAAACCCTCTGTAATCCTTATAGAATTTACATACAAATGTAAAGTATTTTCACATTAATCTTATATGCGTTAACGAATGTAATAAAATCCTTACAGGCTGGGGTGGAATCTGAGACAATTTGCCAGTCTCGCCCCTTCGTAAGCCCACCTATGCGTCTTTCTTATTGCCGCCTAAATCTTGAATATACAACTAAGATTAATCCCGTTGAAAGAAAGGGTGATGCAACCCTTTTGAGGGATGTTTGCATTAAAAAAAGATTGCAATGAATTTGGTGTGTAAAAGAATATTTTAGTATTTGGGATACCTACTGCACGTGAAGACCAATTTATAAATATGTAGCAGACGATAAATTGATATCGAGATCAGAACACTTCATCAACACCGGAAACTTTAAAAGATTATACCAGTGACAGTTCTAAATTCTCTGTTAAAGAAAACATCTGTATTTAAGCCACAAAATTACCAGCAGATTAGTAAGAATTCATCAAAAATGTTCACGACAAACTCGAAACTACATTAAAATGTCGTTTAAACCAATGTAAACGCGGGCTCCACGTGTGAAGTTTCATTTCGTGTCGGTTATTGAGGTTTAATTACTTTTTTATTGTCGTGAGAAATACCTAGGTTGAATTAATAACAGCTTCTAGGTGATAATTGCTTGGTTAATTACCAAACCAGATACGAGTCAGTGTGTTGATTTTTAAGGTGTTGGCTTTATAAAGTGCTATTATTTAAATGGTGGTCCATTAAAATTGATTGATGCTTTATTGTTAGTTAATAGAGCTACCGAATACTAGCTAAGTGCGAATCTTTGTTCTTATTTAGGGGACCAGTACATTTGACTTTTTTCAAAGTAAACAATCATACCGTTTCCTAAAATATATTTATTTTAAGAACCTTTAGTACCCTGTTACTTTGATGTTTGCTATCTACCATGCAAGTACGTATTCCAGCGGTCGATATTCATTATTTCTACGGTAGAATACTCGCAACCCTTATCAAGGGAAGACGCCCGTTTTTTCTCGGTTTTCCCAAATAATTTATTTAGCGGGCCGCCGTCAATTTATCTCTGTGGGAGCTAATTTCGCGTCGGCCCGGTGGCTGGCTGGCGCATGCTGTAATTCAACAAATTGCGCGTCCTATTGGATTTATGGGCTCTCGCACTTGACGGAGCGCCCGGCGCCCTTCTTCCATTGTTCTTGATGCTGCGTGCATACTGGTCAACATCTGGAAATAGAATAGAAATCGTGTTAGTCGCATTTGGGGTCGTCGGCCGTGGTGGCATCTCGAGTATTCGTTTTACTTTTGTGCCGAGTTAGGTTATGTCTGGATGTGTTACGTAATGATTTGCAATAAAAACATGTGCTATCGTTTAGAATTAACATTTATTCCGAACGTGAACGCAATTTAGCGTCAAGTTCGACTGTTTATTTGTCTACTGGTTCTTATATTTCTATTTCACCTTGTGATTCTTCCGTACCCAGTATGCTACTACCCTTACCTCCTCTGCAGTAGTAACACATAATCGTATCAATTATTCGGTTCGCGTCCCTCTTCTTTATTACTTTCCTTGACCGGGATGGTAGGTGAACCTTTTTGTACTACTTTGACTTTTTGTAAGAATTCCCCTGAGAAACGTAGGTGTATTCTTGTTTACAGCAATAAATTACATTCGTACTGATTGTATGGCTGTTTAATCATATGCTTGGCCTACATTCGCTCGCAACATGTCACTACATAAATTAAATAAGAATGTTGTACAAGAAAATTCAGTGCCAACGAATAGTTGATAAAGTTTTAAAAAAGTCACGTAGAATAAAAGATGAAGTAATTAAAAACTCAAAAAAAAAAAAAACAAAAAATATTGTACAAGTGAGTAGTAAGGCGAGCTCGAACGTTTCTGTTATGTGTTTCTTTCTGCTGACTGGGGATCGCCAGACAGTCCTCCCTCTCGCGCGCTGCCTCGCGAATGGGCCACATCAGCAGCACCGTAACTGTATAGAGCAGATACAACATTATTTTAATTGAAAATTGGTATTTTTAAATATTTAATGAAATTATGCTGAAAACTGAGTTCTGTAGAAGTACTAAACTGAAGTTTTTAATGCAAATATTTAATTACTCATTACTTTTTAATATTAACACGTTAAACGCCATGACCCCCACCGTTGGCCGATGCTAGTTTTGAATTGGCAGTCAAAGCCTTAAGTAAATTTTCTATCTCCCTCTTTATTTAAAACATTCATTTACACAGATTTATAATAAGAATAATAAATACACTGCATTTAACAAACACGCATAGGCCTCTGCTCCAAACAACAATAACATTAAAATAGCAATACATCACACAAAGTAACTTTCATGATATTGTGTCGACAGTAATTTAAATAACACACTTAATCCATAAGTGTCACACACGCAACCGCTCTCTACATATCCACAGTCTTTGTAAATCAGCATATGCAAAGTGGTATAGCAATAAATCTAGCTGCTCTTGCTCGTTCTCGCATCATGTTACATCTTAATTTCAGAGCCGGCTCGACGGAGCCTGCCTGCCAGAGATACAGCCTTTTATCAAATACGCATTACGCTAGAAATTAACTTTAACTGAAAAAAAAATTCGCCGTTCCGTGAGCGTAAGCGATAAATAATGAAAAGCTGTTAGAATGCTGAGTTTGTTTTAACATGCCCATGGGGCTTGCGCGAAATTATTTGCATTTTAAGTCCGCCCTTGTTTATGAGAACGTATTCCGATCTGATGAAATATCGCCGTGTGCTTTAGATTTTAAATTGTTACCGACTAGTGCCAAGCGAGTATAAATAGAAAATACTGCTGAAAATCGTCACATTTATCTCTTCAGCAATATACTAAAATTATGCTTCCAATTATCCTAAACCAACAACGACGATAACGAATTTTTCACACGTTGTTTAGCTAACCCCGCTTAAATTATTTATTTATCTCGAAAACGAATAAGCTATTTGCATTTTTAATTTTTTTTATGATTGGCGTTTTAATTAATTTCGCTTTTCCTTTTGTTTCAGGTGGTCGTCGCGTGTTAAGCGTTGTCCATGCTTTGGTAGGTCTTAGGGCCGATACTAGTATGTAAGTTAGCGCGCTCCATGTATTGTATACGCAGCTACCGTGATGTATGTATTCGATTGTCATATTGTCGCTCGGCTCCACACGCCCCGACGCGGTTTGACGTCGCGAGATCAAGATATCAAAATCGACTGTCGAATAAATTTTTATGCCAGCCCACACGAACGCTTAGGCAATCGACTGCCAGAGATTTATTGTCAAAATTTCCCGTTAGTAACGCTTACCGAGCACACTCCGCGTATCACTATTTCACAAATAAAAGAACCAGTCGCGATATCATCGTCGACTATAAATTATATGAAGCTCGGATGAAAAATACGCAATTCGGTCTTCGCTTATTTATCGCTTAGCTTGACTTACATACGAATATATTATGTTAATAAGGCGATGATATTAAATAGTCAAATCGATTAATATTAATCGGCTCGCATCGATAATGTTGCGTAACAGTTGCGGAGTGAGACGTGAGCTCGCCGTATATTCTAGATAGAACCATTAGAAAGCGTACAGTTATTGTCCAGGCGACATGGCGTTAGTTGTGAGGCTGTCGCTATCTGTCGGGGTGATCTGCTATCATGTTCCATCGGGACGGTGGCTGTTCCACGCTAGGAATAGGTCGAGTTCCCGCGTACTGTTCCGTGATATATTGTTCCGCATCTCCCTGTATAAATCTTGAACACCTGCTGAGGTACACGGGACACGGCCGCCGCGGCAACTCCGAGCTTCAAATGGAATTGTGTTTTTATTTATCGTGCGAATCGTGCCCCACTATCGCTCACTTGAAATCGCACTTTATCTGCCAAAACGCGGTGTCGAACCGAGGTGGATTTTACAGCTCTTTATAGTTACTATTTTTGTTTATATTATTGCGATGCCGTTCTGACGATTAGGTAGTTACATACAGTATGGGTTTATTTCTGATGGAGCGCTTGCCAATAGTTCGTATCATGACGAGTTCATTTCCTTTCAAATTGTTTGGTAGCGAGCTGAAATTGAAAATGCACTAGGAGTGTTAATACGTCCACTGCGACTACGGGAATTCTTTTTCATGTTTACTCTAGTTGGTAGGTAATATAGATTGTGATGTGGAGTTTTGTAATACTCAGTGTTTTGACCAGATATAACGTTATACGATATTCGAATTTGATTAAAAAGTATCAAATTCTATTTCATTTGATCATAGTGTTCCTCCGTCGCAGTGCATGTGTGGAAACAAATTATTGTAATGTAAATATTAAGACCTAGTAATTATGTATTTGTAACCGAAATCTGATGTACAACGTCTGTATACGTCTTTGAAACGCATAATAGTGATACATTTACAGACTTACTTACAATATTATATTTTACTGGCGCGACGCATTCGGCGAATGTATACTTAAGTACCGTAATTTTTATGTATATTTGTGAGATATTTGACTATATCGATTTGAAAATTGAAGACAGCGTTTCGTGCCTACCAATTTTTTCTATTAATATATTATGTATAAACATTTATGTCCATTGCGTCCCGCCAGAAATCCTATACGTAACTACAAAAGCTTTAGTATGAAAAAAATATTCCATTTATTAGTCGATAGCTTAACTTATTCTTAGAAAAATAGATTACCTATAGTCACTTAAAAATGACATGAATCAAAACTAGTTGTGCCCAGTATACGAATAGCTAATTAAATTTAAGTAATAGTTAATGTAATTTATTTTAAGATACAGTAGCGGTAATATTTTTGGATTCCTATAAACATATACGTAATTTTTTCTTCTGTATAATGTAGTGATGAGACAAAAAATGATCGCATAAAATTTGATCGAGATTCTTTCGGCACATTTATTTTAATTAACGCCTTCGAAGTGCCAAATTCATTTTTTTAATCATCGATTCATCTAATTACCTCTTTATAGTTCCTTTTTAACGTAATAATGATTTTATTGTGTTTATTAAACAACGATTTTGCTGTTAATCTCTAATGTACTGCACTACTTTTCTGAAAGAATCTTGATTCAAGTTTTAATGACAAACTTTTGTTACATATTGTAAATACTAAATACTTTATTTATAAAGCTTCTTAATGGAATAAAGATGACAACCTTGTTATGTAATATATCATGGAATTCGAAATTCGTACACTTGTTTTAATATTTCACATATATTTTGCGACATATTGAAAATGATAAGTTTACATTTGAACGAAATCGTTAATTTATTTTAATTCGAAACGTGCTCATGAATGTAATACGTAAATTTTGTCCTTTTACGAAGCATTTTGTCATACGTAAATAGGTAGGCCCAATTTTATTGTAATGTAAAATAATTATAGTATAGAAATAAATGAAGAGAAATACTTAAAACTTGAGGGATTCTAGTGTAGAGAATGATTTAAATGTTTGTGTTTCATGATTGTAACTGTGTGAAAAGTTGTGTAATATTATATTACCTTACAATACCTATAATTATGAACGGAACGATATTATAATTTTTTGTACAATATCGGCTATAGTGCGAGATGGATCTGCATTAAATAAAATTCTGTTACTGTACAAGTTGCTTTTAATTTCTTCCAATCATTACCTCTAACCTTACTTTAATAGATAAAGAACGAGTCACTATAATTAAATTGTAGATACAAACAACTTCTAGGGAAGTAATATAAGAACTCAATTACATTTCAGTGAATTTTTTCAGACATTTGTTTTATCATTATTTATCAGTATTATTGTTTTCTTTTTAATTCTCAGTAATAGCACGTAGTCTGGAATTGTTCCCAGTATGTAGGTATATGGCAATAGGCTCACCCCCTATTATATGGGACTCATAACATCAATAGTGAAAAGTGGGTGATACATTGTACAATGGCATAATGTGCACCTTCGGGGATAAAATGCGTGATGTTATGTTATGTTGTTTTATGATTGATCCGAAAGATAAAATACTAGCGTTATAAAATTCTATATTTCACTGTTAATATCAATTCTATATTACCAAATTACATTACACTACACCTCATACGAAATTTAAACTAATCAGAGGAAGTACTCAATATATTTACTCTCATAGAAACGAAGACGATGCGACGATCCCTTCAAAATCTTAGAGGCTCAATATGAATAATGACAGTTTAAATTCCTGGCTGGTCACTAACCGAACGAGTAACATCTGGTTATTAGCCAATGAAGATAATTTATGACACTTGATAAAACACGAGGTGCGTTGTGCTCGTAAATTCATAACCACTTCTGTCTACCACGTCAACAGACAATGAAAAGTATGGACGAAGAATTATCTTAGAGTTTGTATTAATTTGATATTATGATAAATGACCAATAGTTGTTGAGTAAATGGACCACTAAATAAGATTTTTACAATAGATATTTAAAATACGATTGTAAGGTTATCTACGTTTTGATTTTCCTGTCAGGAGGCACCAAAACAAACCATGGTAATTAATATTTTGAAAACGTTAACTATGAAACTAAAATTTAACATTTAAATGATTTTAAAAAGTTGAGTATGGTTTACACTTTCAGATTTTTTTGAAAGAAGGCACCGAAACAAACCACGAAAACCGTAACTTCAGTGCCTTTAGCCAAACGCCACTTTAGCGCTTGTCTACAGAGAGAGTAGAAAACTAAATGTATAGGGATGACATACTGACTGATAAGTGTCAAAATTTACGTCAATTCCATTTAATTTGGTTTTCTATTCTACATGTAGACAAGCGCTAAATGGCATTTAGCAACAGCTGCAGGTATTTAACACTATGATGAATTAAATATATGAGAAACTTATCAGGTTTAGGATAAGATTAGAGATTACAATCAGTCGGGTAGTGAGTAATATAGTGTAATCAGTAATATTTTTATTGGACATGAAAATTTCCAAAATATTTACAAGATTCAAAATAATAAAATTGAATGATTGCGTGGAAAAGCTAATGCATAATACATACACAGTGGAACGGTGAAATAAAGTAGTGTTCACATTGAGAAAAGTAGCCATGGTGTCGTGCCAAACAGGAAGCGTGCATGCGAGGCCGCCGGGATATGGGGTTCGATTCTTTTGCTATGCGATTTTAGACCTTATGTTATTTGTTACAAACATGACAGATCTATATGTTTAAAATGATGTAAATATTTTGAGTATACATATATTACTATACATAACTGTAAAAGACTTTCTGCAAATTATACATATACCTAAGCAAAGTAACAGTATGCATTTTGCAATATTAAATATAATTGATAGTTTATATTTGCATAAACATGTACACGCAACACGATACAATATTTGTCAGATTAGTAGGGAGTATGTTTCCGAAGATCTTATCGTTTATGTAAACTACTGGACCTAATCAATTAGAAAGTAAGTACATTATGCACGTATTCTATGTATCTTAGTTATAAAGGACAACTTTATAAGATGTATAATGTCTTGTTTAAATTTCAAAACAAACTAACAAAGTAATAAACAACTTTTAATTAATATTCAAAGTAAAACTCAAAGAACTATAACTTCGAAACGAACTCGTAAACAATGCAACTGACAAAAGTTGCCATCATGTATAATTTTAGTCAGTCATAAATAATAGAAACTATTTCGAAAGAAACATATCGCGTCGCATACTTACAAAACCCCATTCCCGTTAGGGATTTCTAACATTATTTATAACTCAAGAGACTAAGCTCCATTTTTTATAAAACACCTAAATTTGGTGGTCCGTCTGCGGTACCCTATAAATCAGGGTGTATTCGGCGGATTACCGCAAGAGTAATGACTCCAGTCCACCTGCTGAGGGACTCCTATTATTTAGCTATTTGCTCAACCGTACTGAGCGTCCTCTTAGAATGTTACTTGTACTATTCCAAGCAGATTTTGTGTTTACGCCATTTTAAAACCATTTTAAAAATAAATTGCATAATATACTCAGATTACCGTATCATCATCAGCCAGAAGATTATCAGTTATCCTATATTTAATTACCTTCTATCGAATTTTAGAATATCTAAAGTTCGAGAGACGGAAACATTTTGTAGCGATGTCAGTTTAGATTTTGTTGCAATCAAGTTTCGAGTGCATTTTCTTAAATATTAAACCTGCAGTTATATGCATATATGAAACATAATCGCATAAATCATATTGATGTAGGATATGACCGATAATTTATTGGACATCGTAGACGCGAGGTTTGATGGATAGTTTTGAGCAACTGCAAAATTTGTGCAATGAATACCTAAGTGGATACTTGTGCCTAATTTAAAAGGCCGAACCACACTTCCTGACTCAATTTGACAATTTGGTCACTTATTTATACAAAGCCTATTCAAAACGATAGCAAATTAAATTTGAAGCTAAACAATAGACTAGATTCATTCATAATTCAAAGAATCAAAAACTGGCGTATCAAGAATTACAAACAATTTTTTATTCAAATGATACCAATGAATTATACAATACTATGTAGTATTATTGAAAATTCAAACTAAAAATGTAACCTAAAAATAATTAAAATGAGAACAATTTAAGAGTATACACGACATTTTCTTTCCAGGTCATTTCATTCCAAAATTAAATAAACAACGCAAGTTGATACACGTAACCTTATATCCCTTCAAAAATTAAGGGCGGCTTCGGATAGTGTTTTATGCAGAAATTAAGGCTCCCGTGAAAGGCTTATAATTAACGAGCTAATTAGCAACGTGAGACTGCTCACTTTATTAGCTGGGTCGTCGTGGAACACTGATATCGGATTTTGGTACTGTTTTAATTAGACATTTTCTTGCTGCTTTTGTTTAGGTTATATGACCCTAGATTGAGTTGATCTAGTCGTTTAGAGATGGGAATGTGCTAGGAATATATAGGTAGATATATGGTGGGATGGAAATAAGTCGTTGTGAAGTTTAGATGACTTGGATTATGGGCGTCTAGAGAGATCTTTCTTGTACAAACTCTTAAACGTGTTTTATTTTGACTGAAATGTACTTATTTGATATTTGAATGATTTATGTATTAATTCATTTATTTACTTACCAGGTAGTTAGGTAGACACAAATTCCTACTATATTTAATTTCATACAAGAAAATTAGAAAACTTCGGTCATCATTTTTTTTTCATTGGGTAAGCCGTAACTATCAGACGGATCACCTGATAGTAAGCTATCGGCGCCGCCCATGGATACCCGGAACACCAGAGGCGTTACAGGTGCGTTACCGGCATTTTGAGGATTAGGAATATTGTGAATCGGTAACCTCACTCACAGGACGAAATACAACGTTGTTTCACGTCTGTGAGGCCATGGACGAGCCGGCCCATTCGTGCCGAAGCATGGCTCTCCTTAAAATTTCATCTACATTACACATTAACTTTATCCATTGTCCACTGTGAGTATCTAAGCATTTTAAAATCGAAAAATTCAGTCACATATTATACCATCAACCACAAAATATTTATCAGCATTCATTTCATTAAAATCTAATATAAACCTTCTTTAAACAGAACATAACAGACCACAACCTTAGCCAAGTTTCCGACCTCAATCACAAGCTACATCTTAACTCATTTCGAATAGAGATGACAACATTACCCTTCAGAAACATAGCTCATACATCCAGTGCATGTCATACAACAATTTGCCGTGCAAAATCTGCACACACAAAGATCTGCGTGCACGCCGCCATATTTCGCGGTCAGTAGACATATTGAGTTATCTTAATTAGCCGGGAGGCTGCCTGCCACCCGCGATCCGACCGATACCTACCGAGCTATGTTCTTAGTTATCTAGGTAGTATCTAGTAACCTAGGTCTTGTGCGTGGGTTCTATACTGTGCAGGTTTTTAAGGAGCGAATTTTGTTGCAGGCATAATAATTTTTGGTTTGAGAACATTCTGTTAGAGTCAAACCATTTCTGAATCCCATTTTTAGGACTTCCATTTTTAAACAGGTAAATATTCAAAACTAGCTGATGCCCGTGACTTCGTCCGCGTAGAATTTTACTACTTATATACGATAGGGTATGTTTTATCCTGATAAATGTATCGATCGGTATAAAGAGTACCCTATCACCTAAGTATATGAGCTCATACCCTGCCTATATACCCAATTTCATCAAAATTTATTCAGCAGTTCAGCGTGATTGGCGGACAAACATCCAAACAAAAAAACTTTCACAATTGCAGTGTCATAAAACTTGTAAAGAAATCTCATAATGATCCACGACAATCAGATTTTCCTTCTCACTTAAATGTAAACTAAATAAAATCCTTCTATTACTTCAGACCTCAAATAAATTTATCAAACCAAATTAATATAAACTTTAAAACAAATTTAGCATAACTTCCATTACTTAGTAAATCCTGCAGTGTGATTCAAATAGCTACGTACATACTCTAAAAATATTATTATAATAATATTCAGGTACGTGTAGTATGAACATAAATCCTTCTGTCCACAATATCAGGCACGGCAACTCCTGCGCAGTTGGGGCTCGATCACGAGGAAATAAAGACAATGTGGAAGAGAAATATTAATATTATATTTACTTTA